GGTGCCAGGAGGCCATGCCGTAGTCATCGAGGCGGGAGTACATGGAATCGATGTACGTTTGGGCCTTGTCGGAACCGCGGATGGTCATCATGCCGACGAGGGTGGAACCAAAGAGGTCAAAGATGGGAGACTTTGTCGTGCTCTCCAGTCTCTTGGCCGGTCTGGCGCCCGCGAGGTAGCGCATGGCGATCCAGACGGCAATGAGAAGCAGGACAAAGGCCAGGGGGATGATGAGCGGCGAGACGTAGAAGGCGGTGACGCAAATTCCAATGACGCTGAGGAAGGCGCCAAAGACGCCAGAGAGATCCATGCCGAGCCTGTTGTCGATGACGTTGAAATCGGCGGTGAAACGGTTGAGCACGCGGCCGGTGGGAACGGTGTCGAGCCATCGGAGCGGGGTGCGGAGCACGGTTCTGGTGATACCCTCAAACATGCGGCGACTGGCCTTGTAGCTCATCACGAAGAAGTAGAAGAAACGGCCTGTACCGAGAATAGCGGAGAAGGCAGAGATACCGACATAAATACCCAGGTAGAACATGGTGTCCTTGTCCATGTTGATGCTGACGGTTTCGTTGGATGGCACGTGGAGCTCGCTGTGCTGAAGGGTGAAGGCATAGGCGTATTGGTGTTGCGGTTGCTGGCTGAAGGTCTTGATGGACTGCTCCGATGTTCCAGTCCAGATTCGAAGCCACCATGACCGTCCTGTCCAGTTATTAGCAACATGTATGTAAAGAATCAACGCACAGAGGACTCACCAATGACAACGAATTGATAGATGACGAAAAGAAGGAAGCCGAAGCCCCACCAGGGTAAGCCACCACTCTGGCTCAAGTACGCAGCGTAGACGTGCTTCTTGATGGAGCCCTTTTCGCGAGCCTCGTCCTCGACAAACGCACGTGCAGCCTTTGAGGGTACCTTCTTCAAGATACCGCCATCTCCATTGAGCTCAGCAACCTCGGGGATCTCAACATCAGAGGCCTCTTCGGAATTGACGGCAGTGGCCTCCTCATCCGCAATCTCCTGGGAAGTCTGCTCGTGGCTCTTGATCATCTGCAGCGTTCCATCCTCAGTCAGCTCGGACAGGAAACCGGAGTGCTGGACAGTGCCGTCACCCAGCTCAACGATGAACTTGGTCCGGGGCTCGCAGAGAGCGACGTGGTGAGTGACGAGGATTCGGGTTCGGCCCTGGCAGAGATCGCCAGTGAGACACTTTTCGTAGATGTGGCGGCCGACATGAGCATCAACAGCGGAGAAAATGTCGTCGAGGACAAGAATGCCGGCACGAGAGTAGATGGCTCTGGCGAGGGTGAGGCGCCACTTCTGACCGCCACTCAGGTTGATACCGTTGGCTCCCAACTCGGTTTTGTCACCGTCCGCAAGCATTTCCAAATCCTTCTTCAGGGCGCATGCCTCGATCGTTTGGTTGTACCTCTCCTCGTCGAAGGGGAGTCCGAAAAGAATATTGCTCTTGAGTGTGGCATTCTCGATCCACGGAATCTGGCCGACAAATGAAATGCTGCTCGGGATAATCCAGTTGCCACGGTTGGCCTTGTCGTCGTTTCTCTCTTTGATCGAGGGTGGCTTCGGCGCGTAGATTGTGCCGGATAAGAGATCTGACTCGCCGAGGACGGCAGCCAGCATCAGACTCTTACCGGTACCAGTCTTGCCAGAAATGACGGACAGCTCGCCAGCGGGGAAAGTGACATCGACGTTGCGAAGGATGAACCTGTCCTCGTCCTTAGTCTCGTCATCGACAGGCCACGCGATAGTGGCGTTCTCAAAGGCAACATCAGATCCCTCGGTCACAGTCTTGGTCTTCTCAGGCCCGTTCAGGTAGTCCTGCATTCTCTTGACAGAGATGTTGGCATCGATGACATCGGTAATGAGCTCGGGAAGAACGGCGAGAGTAACCTCGAGGTTCTTGAAAACACCGATACTGACAAAGGCAACAGATGGGATCAAAGTACCATTGAGCCATGCATACACAGCCAGGGAAACGGCGGCCAGGGCAATGGGGCTGGTGATCCACATGCCAAAGAGGACGGTGTCACCCTTGAAAACCTGCCACAGGGCACCTAGTTCCTTCTCTCGCATGGCCAGGATGCGCTTCTCCCACTGAGGCTCGAGCGCGGAAAACTTGATTTGGCGCATGCCTACGAGGGCCTCGTTGACGACGGCCAGCTTTTGATCACGAATCTTCATGAGCTTATCCTGAGCCTTGGAGTACACCTTGGCGTACGAGAAGTTGATGGGAAGAAGGATGGCCCACGCGAGCAACCCGGCACCGAGGGGTCCCCAGCCAAGCAAGTAAACGAGGAACCAGATGGCGACGAGGAGCTTGGCAGCGCTGGATGGGAAGAGGAACTGGAAGGCGGCGAAATCGGAAATGCGCTTGGCGTCGACGCCAATCAAATTTATGATGGCTTGCTTCGACTTGAGCACGTTGTCGTCTTCGGCCTCTTCTTCATCAGCTTTCTTCTTCTTGTCATCCTTTGGCTTAGCATCGTCCTCCTTCTCTTCGGCTTCCTGCTTGGAGGCCGCCTTGACGTTCTTCCTGCGCATCGACTTCTCAAAGATGAGGGCAGAGAGAGCGCCTCTGAGGGGAATGCAGAGCTCGGCCCAAGACAGCCAGAACATGGTCGCCTCAACCCAGGCATCAGCCAGAATAACCAGACCAAGCCAAAAGACCAAGATCCAGATATCGGCAGGGAGGTCTTCGCCAGGCTTTCTACGTTGAAGGGTCTCAAGGATTTGTAGCGTGATCCATGAAGGGGCAAGACTCAAGAAGGCCTTGGAAATAGCAATGGACCATTGGACGAATAGAGGCACGCGGTAGGCCCAAATGATGGACCACCACAGGCTGGAATCGGGCTTGAAGTTGTACGACTTCCACGACGCAGCCGAGTCTTCAGAACGGGTCCAGTGGTCCGGCTTAGGCAGGTCAGACGCATCAAGATCCTTCTTCTTGGTAGCCAGGTCGATGATTCCGCTGCACCAGCCCCAGGTGAAGCGGCTGTAGGCAGGAACCGTCCTAAGGCGGTCGACAATTCTGTTCTCGAAGTAGACATCCGGTCTCCTGGGCAGAGTGACGCTCGTCACAATGAGACCCAGAGTGAGGACCAAGTTCGCAAGTTTGAGGCCGAAGGAAACGGGGTTGTTGGACAGAAGCTCATCAAACACCTTGGTGTCCTGCAAGATCTGGATGCCAGCAAAGATCAAACCGGAAAGCCAGAGCCACAAGCCGAGGCTGTAGGCCTGGACGGAGTCATTTGAAGCAGCGATGGCCACGGCTTGGAAGGCTAAAAGAATCTGATTCATGTCAGCATTCAACCAAAGGAGGTTTCGCGAGGAGGGAGTTTGCCTACCGAAATACCAGTTGAAAGCCATTCTGCAATGAATAAATTGTCATATTTACCGGTGTGAAGTGAGAGCGTCGCCAAAATGGAGTTTGCCAAGGAGACGGCCAGACCCAGGAAGGCGAATAAGAAGATGAAGGTCTTGGGCCAGCGGTTGGAAAAGGCGGCAGATGACTCGGCCGTGGCTTTTCCGTCCTTGTCTTCGTAGAAGTGGTCCTTGGGTTTGCGGGATCGAAGTTGTTGGACGAGTCCTGTGAGGGCCGGAACCGAAGTAAGAGCGATTACGCCCAAAGCAGCTCCGACCTCTATGAACAAGAGTGATTCATCTTGCATGATGGCACCAAAGTATGGGCGAGAAGTCTGAATGACTTATCTTCGCTGGTCGAATTCCGAGGTTGAAAATTGACCGCAGTTTGACGTTTGGGAAAATGAACCGGGTTGCAAGCGGGAGCTTATGATGCGATGCACCTTCGTTGGTGTGGCGGCTTTAAGAAAAAAAACGGCGCGAAGAGCCGGTCGGGAGATCCACAATGAGGCCCAAGTTGGTTGGTAAGCTGCTGCCTCCTGGAGACTGCAGTTCAAAATCGGCAAGGACTCTCCAGTTCCTTTGAAGCCCAGATCAGGTACCTCGAGTAAGGTACTCGACACCGCTAAAACAAACAAAGAAAGTGCTGACGTCGGGGCAATTCTGCTTTCGGCTTCTCCAATTCGGATGGCGGGCCGGGGCTCGAAGAAACGCAGGTTGTTTGCGCTAGTCACAGGTTTCAGCGACTTGTCTGGGTGGGAAAAGCCGGGGGAAGGATGGGCTTTTCCTTCGTCGGAAGAATGGATTGCGATTGCGCAAAGGAAACACTGAGGAAACGAAGAAGATTGCGTGGTTCGGCTTAGTGGGCGCCGATACGGAGCCGGTGGGGGTGATGCGGTCTCAAAGCTTCGTTTCGCTGACGTCGCTGACGGTGTCGCTGGTCTCTGCGCGCCTCTTCGACCATGCACGGGTTTTCGGTGCGGTGCGGTACGGCAGCTTGGGAATTGGAGACACGCGGGGGACGGAGAACGGCGGGGGAAAATGGGGGGCCAAAGGGAAGGGGGAAGAACGGCGGAACGGGGGAAGCCAAGATTGAACGGACGCCAGAAAAGCGGAAGCCTCAGGATTTAAGAAGAAAAGAGATGAAAGGGGGGGGGGAGAAGTCTACAATTGTTGAGTAATAAGGCATGTAACCACTGCCCTGGTAGGCAAGGTATTGTTCGATCAATTGGCAAGGTCGAGGAGAGGAAAGAGGAGCCGCTTCTGGTTCCGCGCCTTGCTTACCCATCCAATTCATTCTACCTACCTTACCGTACCTCTCACCTAACCTGACGGATAATTACCTGGTAGGCATTTTCTCATGAAGCTTACGGCTTCACCCCCAGACAACCTCGCACGCCCCCCGATGCTGCCTGCCCGGTTGCAAGCGGCTGATGCCATTGGCCACTGAACCAAGATAGCGTGCCGCATTTTGCAATTCGCAGTTTGCATTTTTTTCGATCTAGGAATCCGGAAAGACAAGACTCAGTTCAGGTGGACACACCGCACACCATGACACACCCCGGGGAGTTGGCGGCGACGGCGTGCGGCGTGCGCGCGCATCCCCCATCCCCCCTGCAATGCCGCCTTTTTGGCTGGCTGGGATCAAGCTGGTTGGTGCGCCGTGCACTGGGATTCCAACGGATCTTGCCAACACCCCATCTTCACATCCCCAATTCACCACACAAATGGTGCTTCGCGGTCTCGACGGTTCGCCAACACCCTTCTCGAACCCCCCACTTTGCGATGCACTCGGGAACCCAACTCTGATCTCGCCATCCGCATCGTGACGTCCCCATCCCTGACCTGCCTCAACCCTACTGCGCAGTACCTCGACCTGCATCACTCTGCCGCGTCTTTGCAGATTATCCGACATGCGTCAGACGCGGGCATGGCGCTGTCGCCTAGCCGGGCCCTAGGCAGCCAACGTCGACGACGACGACGATGACAACGATGACATATCTCAAAGCATCAGAGAGAGCGACAACTAAGTTATTGTTCGCTGGCAGACGTAGCCGACGGGACACTTTAGCTCCTCTCTCAAATGTCAAACCCGCCCTTTTGAGTATACGAAAATTGATGTATGGCACCCGCGGCCTGCCACCGTAACTGCTCTTGAATCCATGAACCATGTCACCTTGTCAAGAGTCGAGGGCCTTTCCCCCCACCCTGTCGGCTACGGGCGCGGTGGTTGGCCGACGACGCCGTTTCGCTGTTTGACTCATCGGCGGGAAGGAGGGAGACAAGGGACAAGGCAGATGGTGCCAATGTGGTACAGTGGTAGTCTGGCAGATCAATTCAATTGAGAAAAAAAAAATCCAAGCGATGCCAGAGGGAGGGGTGGCGGCTCAGGTGTGGAGTTTCAACTTGGCAGAAGTTCCTCTCGTGGACCCTGGGTGCTGATACGGCGGCCCGGGGTGGGTGGCCTAGTGTAGCACATCATGAATTTGTGCTTGCCCTTCCTTGCCGGGGGCTGGCAGGTGAATGAGAGACTGACTGATTGACCAAAGTACCTATTTCACGCACGAAAGGCGCAACAATACAGGTAGAGAAACAGAAGGGAAGAAGAGGCGGATACTCGTACCAATCTAAACAGAAGAGGGTGAGCCTCGCGGTTGACGTTCCTTGTTAGTGCATTAGCCCCAATGCAGTCATCCTGCACTAACATGGCCTGATGCGCATGCCTGCGCAAAAAGTTGCAGCTGCTCTCTTCCTCGGCGAACGGCGAGCCAACCTTTTGCGTGCCTAGAAGACCCCCATCCGCTTCCGCCTCGCTGGGTTGCTATCCTGGCACGAACCCCGTATTCTGTCGTCAATCGAGAAAGAGAGAGGGTCGAATTCGTTGACCTTTGTCTGTTTTTTTCTTCCAATTGCCTGGGCGCAGAGTACATACTATGGGTGGCGCATACCGCACCTATTCGTACGACGTTTTGTGCCTTGTCCCAGCCGGTCGGGAACGATATCAAACTCGTCTGATTCGTCATCCATCAATGATCTCGATTTTCGAATTTTAAGAAGCTGCGCCTGCATCCCCGCCTGCTACCTTGCCTGCCGGCCAGCCGGTTCCTCTCGTCGAGACTCAAAGCTGAATCCGAGACTTGGTATCCGTAATCTCAAAAGACTCACAAAGTCCAGTCATAATGCTGAATTAGGAAGGAGAGTTTGGAGAGAGGGGGGCGCGCGGGTGCCAGGTGGTGGGAGTCTGGGAGGCTCTAATTTGCATGGGCGGGACTGCGCCGCAGGATTTCGGTCATGGATGATGGGGATTTTTGGGAAGGGCGGTCAGACTAGCAAATCATGGGATGTGGGTCCCCGCCGCCAGCCAGCCACGCTGGGCCCCAAATGGTTTTTGCCAGTTGCCAATTGCCAATTGCCAATTGGGATTCTCCACCTCATAGTCTCGAGTCCCATCATCGGGGCAGTCGTGTGATGGGAACCGTTTTTCCCGCTTCCCGCTTCCATTCCTGCCGTCCGCTAAATGCTGACTGCTCCTGCCCTCTGCTTCTGCTTCTGTCACTCGTCCCGCTAGCGTGTCTGCGACTTGCAACTCGACGTTTAGAGATTTGTCGTCACTTCCAAGTCGTGAGATTGGTCTGGTCCATGGCGGCTGCAGGAAGTTTCCCCGTGAGCACCTCCTTTGTCTGTGTCTATTGCGGACGCAGAAACAATGACGCATAATTGTAAAGCATGGGTTGTTGTTCGTGGGTTTCGTTCTTCCTTCCTCTATCGACGAACGTACTCACCTAACCCTCGAACCTGCCTTAGAAGTCAAGGAGAAGGAGGTCTCAAAGTCCAGGCAGCCGCCGACACACCATCTCGCTTACCTGCGCTTCGGCTTCCATTACCGCCCTGCTATCTACCTCATATATGCACCTCATTCTTATCACATTTCTTTCTTGTCCTTATTCTCTCGCCGCAAAATTTCCATACGACACCGCAAGGTGCTGACTGCATCAAGGGTCGCTGAAAAAGAGATGAGAAACAAAGTACTGTGCCGCAGAATACGACGCCACGTGCCAATCTCTCATCTTTTTTCGATCCCGTGAGCTCTTCTTTATCAGCAAGTATCAATCAGGACCTTCCCATCTCGATTAATTCCCAAGCCCGGGCTTCTGGCTGTTCGGTACCTCACTCTACCTTTGCCCAAGGTGATGGAGTGACGTTGGAAGAAGACGCGGCTACTCGGGGACTTTGCTGCCTTGCCAAGGCTGCCATGCCATCCCCTCCCCGCACCGGGGCTTTTGCCTGTGTTGGATCTGGCAGCCGACGACACGTCGACCGTCGCCGTCGCCAAAGTAGTTCTTCTTCTTGTCATTTCATCCTCTATTCCTCAGATATGAATACTTGCCAATCTGATCCGACTCATGATGCTGCGCCTGCGACACCGTTCGGCATGTGGGCTAGGTGGGAACAGGCCGTAAAACTGCGAGACAGACGTGAGATGCGTAACATCAGACACCGGGTCGATTCCACGTTTCGAAACGGAAATGTTCTTTTAGTGTGACATCAGACCGGGCCAATTTCTTTGCGGTGTGTGTCACGCCTCACACATCGTCGGGCGAGTGAGTCCTGTCGGCCAGAGAAAACAAGGCAACGTGTGGCTGATCCCAAAGAAAATTATCCAACATCCACTGCATACCTTACATGCGAGCGAATGCCGGCGCAGTGTAACAGCCGCGCTTCGATATGGACGCTCCCATCCTGTTCATTAATTAAAAGTCTGCGATTGGATGTCGCCCGGCGACTTTGAAGCCTGCGGTGCTTGCATTACCTACTGCTCACCGCCAACGTGGTTGCAGAATTTCTTGGCGATGTCAGGCGGCGGCGGGTTGTTATTGATGTAAACTTGTTGGCTCTTTCTGTTAGTTAATGGTAGCTGCCTGCGTTTGATGGTGGTGTACGGAGTAAGGTAGTAGCACTGTAGTGATTACATTGTGAGGCAGAGAGAAAACGAGTTGTTCCGTCATGGGTTGACTCAAACGGACGAACGCTCTCCCGACGGTTAGGTATGACTGTGCTGAGATTGTGCTCAGATGGATGACTGGGCATTGGAAGTTCCCCTTCTCATGCTCAATAGTTGAAACCGACCGAAATTTGCAAGCCATTGCTAATCTGACAAACTTCCCTTTTGGCTGCGGTACTCACTATGATGGTTTTCCATACCGTTGCAACCGACGCCAATGAAACAGGGCTGAAAATCGGGTATGGTAGGTAGCCTATGTTGTGGACCGGGTCGTCGGGGCTGCACCATGCAGACTACAGAGTACCAGTACCTAGTCTTATTTGAATTTGGGGGTAAAGAGAGGAAAGAGTTCACGATGAGTTGGAGGCATCGAGCAAATGCATCTCTGGAAAAGAGCGATGCCGAGTGCAGCCCCTCAGCGTACCAATGGTTGTGACTAAGACTGATATAACGCGTGCTTCTAGAAGGAGGTCTTTTGGATCAGGGCCCAAGCGATGTGCTCAAGAGTTTCATGGGTTCAAAGATGGAGACAAAGTGGAAATTCCCAATGAGCAATTGGCATTAGCCGTGCATTCATTGGCGGAGGCACTTCAGCCCTATGTGTACGGAGGGAGTAATGGTGCGCAGATATCTCACTCGGCATGTTGGGAGACCGATATTCAAGTAGGGAGCTATGGAGGGTCGTCAAGGTACCTAGGGGCAAGATCGGGATTGAAATGCAGTTCCATTGTACGATGAAATTCACTCTCTCATCTGAAAAAAATTGTCAATTGTCGAGCAATGGGTACTTGCTCCAGCCAGAACTCATTCAGAGATTAGATGGTTAGGCAGTTGAAAGAGTGAGAGTGAGTGGTGGCAGCAACAAAGTTGAAACCCGAGGGAACTGGCACAATCACTAGGGGAAAGTGGCAACGAGCCCCCAAATAAACTTGAATTAGAGAATCCCCTTTGGAATCTGGGCGAAAAGTCCCTTCGTTTCGAGGTGTTGCGCCGACTGCCTCAAACCCGCCCACGAGTGCGTCGATCCTCCCATCCCAACACCTTGCAGTGCATACGACTCCAACCAATCAGAACGAGCAGAAACGCATGCGATAAGCTGAGGTTGCGCCCCGAGTGACGGGTCTGGTGATGAGATACGGCTATTTCACGGTGGTACCGAAAGTTGAAAGGCTGAGGTGGCAGCCTGAGTTAATTGTGCCCAATTTGTGACTACTGTTTGCTCGGAACGCAATCCTTTGCGCTGAAATACCAAGCAGAAATGGAAAGCAGAAGAAGAAGAAAGGATTCAAGTTCAGTTCAGACTCCAAGGATAGGACCCAGTCGAAAGCATCTTGGGAAACGGCTGCAGCCAATCAGACGAGGCTGAATGAGCCAGACAGTGGATTGCTCCCTCAAAGGCTTTCTCTGACGGAGCTGTCTGATTGGCTAAACACACGGCCTGGGCGCCCTATGGCGAGCAGCTTCCCTGCCGTTTCCCTGCTCACGGCTGCTCTCCCCGATTTTCTCGAAGTGCAGAGCCCGCCTTGGATGGGTACGCTAAAATGATGCCGATGCTGGGCGCTGCAGTTGCGACAGGCTCTGCGTGTCTGGTTGCTGTAGCGGCTGCAGAACCTGCCACACCACCCAAGGTACCGTCAAACTTTGGGGAGGTTTTGCGGTGGAAAACACCAGCCTGGTATCCGTACAGGCGGACAAGCCCGCGACTGGCACCATGGAGCCTAAGGTACGGCAACAATCAATGGGTGCCCTGGGAAGCCCAGCTCCTTCTTGTCCCTGCAACAGCGCGTGCGTTGGAGCCGTCTGAGCTCCTGCACGCCGAACCAAACC